CCGTGCGCTCGCCAGACAGACAGAGAGACATAGAGACAGAAAGCGAGAAATCACCCCCCAGGGGGGATGGCCACGCCGCAATCCCTTCTCCTCCATTCTCCTCTTGGGATCTTGGGCACGCACGCACACGCACCCGGCGTGAGTTTAAGCCACCGGGTCCGGGACACGAACCGCGATCAACTACGTGGGAGTCTAGCGACATAGCCATTACGCTAACTGCTGGTTCCCTGTTTCATTATATCTTGATGTGTACTTGCTGTGGAAGAGATCCCGATGTTTCATCTGAGCCTTTCTTTCCTCATCTGGGTTTATAAGTTTGGGATACAATTTGTAGAGACCTTACTATCTCTTAAGACACCATGATGAGTGATACAGAAGTAGAATTATTTAAGTAGAAAGTCAAATAGGTTGGGACCCTTTAAGATGTACAAGTAAATAAAGGAAATAGAGAGGTAGTGACAGTTTTAGAGCCTGTGTAATCACTGAGAAACAAGTCAGTGTAGGAAATTCACAGTTTACATATAATATATTAAAGTGAGGACTGTCAGAGTGAGGAACTGGTGGAGGAAGGAATGTGTACTGCTGTAACACTGAAAATAATTCATACTCCTGGATAAATGAATTTACATTTATATACAATGTATTTTCAATAATGATTTATTTATAATCTAGTAATGACTAAAAAGCACAGCAATAATTGTGAGAAGTTTCAGATATAACATAAGCATATTATTTGTTGGACTCAAAAGTACTCTTAAGAGTGTTTTTATATATATCTGTTTGGAGTTAGTGGTATATTTTCTGGTTGACCATCACACTGGGAGTACACATTTTCCACATTGCAGTCTCTTCTAGCTGTATATACACACGACTGGTTTCTTTTAATCTTGTAACCTGAATGTGGTATTTCTGAATTGACTCATTTGTTTTCTAGCAGCCTCCCCATGTTAGCCTTGCCACGTGGTCAGTTTTCTGCTTGGTAGGTTTTATAAATCCTAAAAGTTCTAGTTCAGAAACAGCTCTAATAAACCTTGCACTGGAGGCTATAGCTAAGGAAATTGTATTTGACAAAAAAGGTTAAAATCTAACTGTTAAAATACTAGTTGGTAAACTGTGGTAGCCAGTTGAAGTATGCACTCCTAAATTAAACCATTACTGGCAAGCATGAATTGTAATTAGAATCCAGTGTCAGACATAGAATGGAAAAGTGCTTAATTCTTAATTAAATTATAATTTTTCACATAGTAAGAAAATTGCACCCACCCATTTCTAAAAGTACATTAAAAAATTCATAGTGACCATTTCATTTTCAGTATACTTTGGAATACATTTTAAACCAAATATTTTAGGTATTGTCTCAGTTTAAATCAACTTCAGAATATTTAGAAATTTTAGTTATTCTGAAAAATATGGAAAAGGATACTGAATAATTTCATTCACTTCTTCTGAGGTTGTGGAATTTGCATCTGTTTTTTCAGCAGCTGTCACTACTGTTGCAAAAGCCTTTTGAACAGACAAAACAGAAGAAAATAATCTCTTCAGTTGCCAAACATCCTTTATACTTCCTTTGATGGTTCTGTAATTAAGCCAGGTCTGACACTGCTGCTGCTAACTGACACATTTGTTTTCATTGTATCAAATTTCAGATCCTCAAAATTGCACTGATGATCACTTTAAACCAATTACACATTAAGAGCTAATGTAATAGTTCTTGAATAATCTTGTTTCAGAGAACCAATAAGTGTGCAAAGAAAAAGCTAGTGTAAGTTAAAGGCAAAAATGCCCTGTATCCTCTACTTCCAACCTCCCTTAATCTAGGAAAATGCTGATTTTTCTTTAAGCAGTTAGGATTTCTTTTTAAAGAATTATTTATTATTTCATTTTTTACTTTGACCAGAGAAAGAGAGGGGAAAGTAAGAAAGCAAGCCACCAGGTCTAGGACTTGAACTGTGGTCAACCATGTGGGAGTCCAGCACCTCAACCTCTACATCACCTGCTGGCCCAAAGTTAGGATATTTTTAAATGGTGACATCTGTCAAGTAAGGTCTTAAATAGAGTTAAAGTCATTGAATACTATTCTGAGGAGGGAAAGAATAGAGTTATTTATTTTAAAGAATGACAACAATTGTCCATTGCCTTGCCAAGTATCTGTACTTCCTTATTGCTAAATCTGTTGTGTAGTCATTCCAGTATCTTTTTTCTTTCATTAAGGGAAATGCTAGTTAATAACATATTTCCTTATTTTATGGAATAATCCAGAACCGATCTAAATTGTGTTTTAATGCTAACTTTTGGGTGAGGTTGCATACTTATTCTGACCTGGCATCAACACATAATTTGGTAGAAGAATAAAGGATCAGAGAGCAGGGGATTGAGAGCAGGGATTATTGAACTGCTATTTTCTAAGGAACTTTTAAAGCATGAAGTGATTTATGCTTTCGACGTCAAGAGAAGGCATTATGAGTTCCAAAGTATTCAAAGTATAAAAGTATTCCAGGAGAACTCTCATGGGTGATTAGACAAATAGCTTGCTCTTTTTCCCAACCTACCTCTGACCAGTCCACAAGGTTGATTAGCCTACTGCACTCTAGGTGCAGTTTATATGCTATGCAGATGTCTGGGGCGATATTTGGAATGCAGCCTTCTTCACTTTTCAATGCTTCATTCTAAAAAGTAACAGAGGACTACCTTTTATAAATGTTTAGAAACCAAATCAGACATTAATGAAATCTCTAACCAAAATTAAGTAAACCAGTAAACAGAATCTTGATTTCCTTTATTGATTTCCTTTATTGAGTAACAATAGTTAACTAGTTCTAGTTTAGGTTTAGGTGTTGGTCATAATCCCCTTAGTTTCTAGTCATTAGAAGAATATTCCTAGGATCAGAGGGTTAAGCATATTTTTGATTTGCATTTCTGGTTGCCAAAATGAATTTATGGAATTCTTTGGTAATATCCAATAAAGTGACACTTTCAACATTTCTAATTAGTTGAATTCTAGCAATACTAATACTGTTGGGTCGTCGGAAAAGTCATGACACATTTTTTGCATAGAAAACCAGAAAAAACACATCGTGACTTTTCCCTTTTTTTTGGAGAGGTTTTTGCTATAGGGTGCATGCGCTCGCCAGAAAGACAGAGACAGACAGACAGACAGGAAGCAAGAAATCACTCCCCAGAGAGGATGGCCATGCTGCAATCCCTTCTCCTCCATTTTCCTCTTGGGATCGTGGGTACGTATGCACACACGCTCTGCATGAGTTTAAACCACCAGGTCTGGGACCCAAACCACAGTTGACTACATGGGGAGTCCAGTGAGGTAGCCATTATGCCAACTGCTAGTTTCAACATCGTGACTTTTCCGACAACCCGATATACTGTATTAGTAAATACTGACATACCGCTATTAAGACTGTAAGTTATTTCTCAAGGCAAGACTATGCTATCAATACTGTAGGTCTTAAGCTCTACAGAAACTCAGTGTTTATTCAACCTATTTGAAATCCATGGTTCTTACTGAGAAAAATCCCCCGTGTCCCCCTACACCCTAGATATTTATTATTTTTAAAAATTTTCCAAATGATTGATGAAATTACACCAGTTCTCTTCTGTGACACACCAGATTTTCTGAAAGTTTTAATATGTGGTTTATATATTATTAGCTTGTCTGAAAAGTTAAGACGTATTTTTTCTATTTTTCTATGCAATAATGCATCATGACTTTTCAGATAATCTAACAAAAAAAATTTTTATTCTTTAAGTATGAAGTTATTCAAGCTCCCTACTACTACCATCATTGTAAACCACTGACTTATCTTCCCACTAAGTATTCTCTTGGAGTACTTGGCAGGTTTGTATGCCAGTTTTGCAGTAGTAAAATGAAACCATTCCATTGGGATGCTCTTCATAAATTTGTGGAGTCACTTATTAAGTATTTTTTGGAACAAAGTTTCTAGGTACTTGACTGAAATGATAACTTATTGTTCAGAAGTTATTTCATCTATCTTACTGAAAAACATAGCTGCTTAATGTTTAAAGTGACCGTTTTACCTGGTCATAAGAAAGCTAGTTTTAAAAATCCTCAACTATTTTGAGCTCTTTTGTTTAAAGATCTTCTAGGGCCTGGTAACTGTGTCAGGACTTAGGCCAGAGGCCCTTTTACAGTGTGTGGCCCAGGAGTTTAGATGCAGAGTGATGGTGAGCCCTGAAGATGCTCTCAAAATAGATCTATCTTTGTGTTAAAATCCAAGATAAAAATCCTAAAGCATTTCTGTTGTTCATTAGGTACAATCATTTGGATCTTTTAAGTAATTTCATTCGACCATACTGTTCAACTCATATCTGCTCTTATAGCTGTAGGAAACTAATTTTCACAAGAGTGGTAGTAGTAATATTACACTCTTGAACATTAGTGTCTGTGCTCTGGTTTTATCACATGAAAGGCAGATAGTTACACATGGTTGAAAATTAGGAGCACCAGGGTCTACTGATTAGTATCTTCACTGGGTTACAAAACTCTGTATGTTTAAAAATATATGAGAGGTACAACACTGAGCTGCCAACTTTCTGCTCATTAAAACAGAACACAAATTTGCAGTGTTTCTATGACAAGTTAAACCAAAGCTAAACTGTCAGAGAACTGAATCTGCTTCTTACCTTTAGATAATAATAAGGGTTGTTGAGTGCAGTATGGAGGGCGATTCGTGGGGCAGCATTTAAGTGCTCCCGAAGGCTGTGAGCAGCACTGAAATACACGACTTCATGCAGAGGCTGTGTCTCTGGAGGCACAAGGTATTCTCTGAAATAGCCAGAGTCAGGTGTCAGCTCTTATACATGCACACAGGCTTATTCTGCCAGACCTTTGTGGAAGACTAAATAGTGTACTTAAAAGGCAAAGTCAACAATAACCAAAAGCAAATAAACAAAATGCAAGTATCAGATCCAGTGCAGTTTCACTCAGAGTTGTACTTCCATATAAAACTTTGAAAAACTTCCTCCAGACTCTACATTTTGAGAAACTCTATGTTTTAGTTTTGAGTTAAAACTTTTAGAAACAAATGAACACATACTTCATTTCTGCTCAAAGTCTTTAGACTAGAATTTCTTAGAGTATTAATGAATTTCTTAAATTACTTAGAAATCTGAGATATCCATATTCTCTACACTAGAAAACATTTAACTTTGCGAGTTAAACTCAGGCTTCTGCCTGGAATTAAGAGTTCAGGGAATTCTTTTGGATTAAAGAAAATATCTTAGTTGATGTTTTGCCTCAAAAGTTTTTTAGACATTAAAATTACATTTTTCTTTAAAAGGCAGAAAAGGCTAAATTTGAGTTTCAGTATTAAAAACAATTGTTCATCAATAAAATTCCAATTTTTTTTTATTTTTAATTTTTTTAGATTTTTGGTACAGAGCACATGCACTTGTTGAATAAACAGAGACAGAGAGATTGAAAGTGAGAAATCACACCCCCCCCCAGGGGGATGGCCATGCAGCAGTCCCTTCTCCTCCATTCTCCTCTTGGGATTCTGGGCATGCATGCACATACTCCTGGTATGAGTTTTAAGCTGTCAGATCCAGGACTCGAACTGTGGTTGATTATATGGGAGTCGCAGCAACATAACCATGCCATTTGCTGGTCACTAAAATTCCAATTTTAAAAATAATAATAACTTTTATTTTCTACCTGTGAGTTAAGATGACCAACTAATTTTAATGAAATTGTAATTTAAAAAATAACACATTAAAAAGTTCACTTTGAATGTGTAAAAATGAGCTCATCAGCTGGTTTGTGCCAAGACAGTGATATCATTTTTTGGTGACCTGGAGGGTAGCAAACTGGAAGGAAGAAGCTTTGGCATGTACAATCCAAAGATTAGGTAATAAGTCACTACCTAATCTTTGGATTACAGTACCTAACTCACATGCCTTCATAAAGAAGAGTCTTGGGGCTTAGTTTGTCCTGACCTTTTGGCCACATGACAGATTATCAGCTCCTTTTAGTGTAGGCAGAACAAAACAACTACCTCAGCCCAGCCACCTTTTCTTTTTTTTTTTTTAAAAAGAGGTTTTTGCCTGTGTGCTTGCCGGAGAGACAGAGAAAGCGAGAAATCACCCCCCAGAGGAGATGAACACGCTGCAATCCCTTCTCTTCCAGTCTCTTCTTGGGATTTGGGCATGCATGCACATGCGCCCTGCATGAGTTTTAAGCTGCCAGATCTGGGGCTCGAACCAGTCGACTACATTGGAATTCAGTGATGTAACCATTCTACCATCTGCTGGTCCCAGCCCAGACACCTTTTATTCTAAGTGACCTAAGTTTTTCTTTCTTGGAGAAGACATTACCACCTAGAAAATTTCCCTCTATCTGCTCTGCCCTAATGTGGTCAGTGGCTTTGAAAGGAGGAAGTAAAAAGGATATTCGGCCCATATATATCACTCTTTACCACCTTTCTCCTCCTCGTCTTCAAGCTCCTGACCCCTTTCACTTCTAGATGCTCCTCCTCCTCCAGAGTCAATTGGAACAAAACCCATTTACAAAGAGTGTATGAGTTTCAGGGCTGGATGGCAGCAGTAAGGTGCAATGCTCTACAAAGCTTACTTGATGGGAAGTTTCCAGTTTCTTATCTGGAGACCTCCCTGAGTACACTAGGTGTATGCCCATGATCTGAGACTGGCTAACGCTTGTGACATCAAGGCCCTGTTGATGTTGCTAAATAAAACTTTAAAAAATTCTAAAAAAGGGGCCAGCAGGTGGCCCATTTAAGGTCTGGACTCCCACATGACTGATCCTGATTCAAGTCCTAGACCTAGCAGCTTGAGAATCATGCTGGGCACATGTATGTATGCACACACCCAAAATCCTTAGAGGAGAATGGAGAAGGGATTGTGGTGTGGCCATCCTCCTAGGGGGAGGTTTCTTACTCTCTCTCTTCACTGTCTGATGAAAGTATGTGACCTATGGCAAAAACAAAATATAAAAAATAACTTAAAACTGTTATGACTTTGACTTGACACTCACTAAGGACCAACATTCTATACTCAAGAACTAACATATTAATTACTCAAGATTGAGTTAATTTAGCTGTAGCTTCAGGAAATGGTTTCTATGGCACTGATTGCACCTTTGGATAATAGCTACCAGTTTGGAATTTCAGATCATAAACTCTTCCTATGCCATCCTCACACAGTTGACTCCCTAATCATTATCATGATTACTATAAAAGACATTGGTGAAGTTTTTGTTGTGTAATAAGGACTGGAAATCATAGCAAGTGAACCACACATTCAATTTCAGAAACTTAAGCTACTGCCTCACATTTGTAATCTCCAAGGCAAAAGGTCTTTGTTGGACATTCCTAAAGAACCTCCACCAGAGGTGAGATAAAACATCTGCCTTTAATTTAATTCCATTGGGCTACATTAGTTGAGCAACAGTGACAACATCATACGTTAAAATTTTTGTCCAAATGTAGACATAGAAATTGGCACAGAAATATATTTTGCCATTTATTTGCTGTATGAAGAAATAATGAGTCTTATACTAGACATAAATCCTGCATTATGCTCATTCTGGATTCATTCAGATCAGTTTACACATGATAGGTCTTCCCCCAAAGGGATGGTTCTGAAGGAATAGCAGATTTATTTATCAACAAGGGCTACAAAGTTGAAGCTTGATTTTGAAGAAAACAGTAATTTAGAAAGTGGCAACTTATTCTCAGCTTTCAAGATTTAGCAGCCCATTAGTTGTTCTGCTAAAAGCTGCTCATGGTACTGTGAACCCTGTCTCCTGAAGACTACAGCTTGTATTTATCTTTAAAGAGCATCTCTTATCCAAAACTCAGCTCTGTTCAGACATTGGTTGTGGAGAGAAGTTACTCTCCACAATTGATGACATCGTTCTTCAGGGCAGAGTAAGGAAATTCTGAAGGCCTTTTGACCAGTGTCAGGAGACTGAGGCTCTGTGACCCTGAATGAGTCATAGCCCCTCTCTACAGTAGCTATCACACAACTGTCCCTATTAGCTCTAACGGGTACAATCCCAGCCTCTTCCCTCCATCTCGGGAAAAGTAAATCCTGGTATGGAAGATTTTGTGATTTAATTACAGCGTGTTTCAAACGTGCTATGTAGTATTTCAATAAATGCTAAGAAACGTTAAGACCTCAGACATGCTAGGTCAAGATCATGAAAGGGGAATGGTCTGTGTGATTTCAGAGCTTGTAATTTGGGATTTGTAGGAATTTAGGAACTTGACATTTGGCCTGTAAATGAGGCTAATTACATTGAAAATTATTTTTATTGACTACAGTGATCACAACTTGGTAAAAGGGAAGAGTCAGGAACTTGGGTCTAAAAATTACAAGAAGAAAGCCAAATAGGAAAGGTTAACTCCATGAGTTCTAAAATGTAATTCCTGATCAGAAGGTCAGTTCAATATTGCAGTATATCACTTTGGTATGACACATTTCTCGCTTTAACCTTTTTGTCACATTTGGGTGATCATTTTAGATCTCTTTCATGGTGTTATTAATTTTTCCTCAATAATTAGGAAAAATACCAAATTTTCCTCAATAATTAGGAAAAAAAGTTCCTGGAAAATGGAACTTTTTTCACTTTCAAGGCTGAGAGGTAAAATTTATCAGGAAACTACTTTATCTTGATAAATGACCTGCTGTTTTTTTTCCTTATCTGTTCAGTGCCCAGTCTGTTATTGGACTTAAACAGTCATTAAAAAACAGATAAACAATAACAGGGCTTTCTCCTACTTTTTAACTATTAAATAATTTTCTTTTGCACTCATTTTTTTCTGTAGCATGTTCCTAATTCCTGAAAGGCAGCATAGGTGGGTGATTTTACACAGATACATATACTGGCTTTTGGGAAATCCATGAATCAGAATGATCTAGAATGAAGACGAAAGCATCTTAAAATGTAGGCTGAACTGGTAAACTTAAATTTTCTGAGTACATGTCTTAACACAAGTTTAGTGCTGGTGAGTTACACTGGTAGTCTTTAAAATCAGAAATTCCCTATTCAGGATAAAAAAGAACAGCATGGCTAATTTGTGTTCTGAGCTTGGCTCAACATTATTCCTACAAAAGCAGCAAGGATAAAGTGTGATGCAAACATTTTGTTATTATAAAGGGGAAAAATATTTTCTACCCCTGTGTTTCCCCACCTGGCCTGCATGAACTAGATAAAATAAACCCGTATTTTTGAACTGACAGTAAAATAAGTCATTTGATCAGACATCATTAATAATTTAAAAGTGAATAAAAATTATAATTCTAAGCTAGATGGAAGAACCAACGGAAAAATAAAGCCTAATCTAGGAAAATGTCCTGGATTGGCTATGGACAGCTATCACACCAGCATTATTTGTGTAAGATAGCTCTTGGGGCTGGCAGGTGGCATGGTGATTAAGGCGGCTGGACTCCCACATGGCTGACTGCAGTTCAAGACACAGATCTGGCAGCTTGCTTTCTCACTTTCTTGCTCTCTGTCTCTCTCTGGTCAACTTCAAAAACTAAAGTAAAATAATGACAATGAATAAAATTAAATAATTCTTTAAAAAAATATATTGCTCTTAAGCTCAATAGACTCACCTCACCAGACAATCAATGAAATTCACAACTTTTTCTCTGAGTACTTCAAATCTGGTTTGCTTCTTACTTGTTCTTCTCAACTCCTTCATTTCTAGTAAGGACTGTTAATGACAAAACATACCATTTCTGATGATTCTGAGAAAGAAAGCTCCTCAGAGGGAGCTCTAGTGCTGAGGTAGAGGCAGCTGATGCCCTTGCCATAAGAAAGAAAATGCAGAGAAAGAACCAGATCAAAATGAGTTATTTTTTTATTTGGCCCAAGAGCACATATACTCACTAGAGAGGAAAAGAGAGAGGAGAGAAAGAAAGCACCTCCTAGTGAGGTGTGGTCATGCCACAATCTATTATTTATCTCATTAGGATGTTAGGCATGCACACGAACACTGCTGGCATATTCTTCAAGCTGCCAGGGCGCGAACCCGAACTGCTTAATAGACCATGTGGGATCTGGCTTCCTCAATCACATGACCAGCAACATTTTCTAAGTTCTGGCAAAAATCTCTCCTAGATGTTTTGCTTTAAATTTATAAGAAGTGAGCTTTCAGTATAAGAAGAAAAACGGCAGTCCATTTTCTTACTACGTTACAAGGCAGAGTGCTTATTATTGATACTTCTATTTAAGAAAAGGACTTAAAAAGAAGGGAAAAAACCTTGCCTTTGTGGCATACTAACAGAATAGATTCCATGTGTTTTGTTTCACTTAGATTGTATTTTTTTTTTTTTAGATTGCAATTTTATTTGACATAACTTGGCATTATGGTACTTGGCATTTGACACTCAAGATCCTAAAATTAGGAACTGGCAGGTGGCATAGTGGTTAAGGTGCTGAATTCCTACATGGCTGACTGCTGTTTGAATTCCAGACCTGGTGGCTTGCCTCACTTTCTCTCTCTCTCTGGTCAAATTAAAAATAAAAAAATAAAATAATTCTTAAAAAAACAAATCTGAAAAAGAATATATTGAATATACTATGGCTCAAATTCCTGTCTATGCTGTGAATAAAAATCAAGTACTGGGCCCGGCAGGTGACGTGGTGGTTAAGGTGCTAGACTCTCACATGGTTGACCATGGTTTGAGTACTGGACCTGGTGGCTTGATTTCTTACTTTCTGTCTCTCTTTCTCTGTCCCTCTCTGGTCAAATTAAAGTAAATAAATAAATAAAGTTAAATAAAATAATTCTTTAAAAAAAATCAAGTATCTAAAACTAATGAGTTAGGCTTTTTTAAATCTCTCAGTTTGATCAAACACAAATAGATCACATTAATATTTAGATTCCTTTTTGCAACCATATTCCTGTTTCCTCTTGTTGCTATAGTTAACTCTGTTTTTGTCTCTGAGCCTACAGGAGCAGTTTCCACCTGTGCTGGTTACTAAATTCCTACCTGTGAATATGCACAGTGAGCATAGCATAGCAGTAGGACAAACAGGATATTTAATTTATATGTGAGTTACAAAGTCTGCTTTATTCCTGGTTATAGTTTCAAAATGAAAACAAAAACATGCAGGTAATGCTAATCGCTAATAGAGAAAGAACATGAATGGAGAAAGGGACCATCACGGAGTGTACCTGGAGGGAAAAGTGACCTGACCTTCTGAAGATGATAGAGGTCTGTCTTCTGAAAGCCCTTTGGCTGTGACCCAGAAGCATCATCATCTTCTTTGGCATCTGCTTTTAATACAAAACCAATATACAGTAATTATGGTAAGTCTACCTCAAGAGAACAAACTTTGCTACTAATCCAAAGAAACTAAAACTTTCACCTATTTTTTTTAATGTGCCCAAGGATCAAGTCTCCATCAAATAAATAATTTCTTTCAGAAGCTAAAGATCAATAAATATTACACAATTTATGCTGTAGTAAGATCTTCAAAAAGCCAGCTACTGTACTGAAGTGTTTTATCACAATGAAAACAAAATAAAAAACAACTAAGAAACAAAACAGAGAAAGTCCTCAGATATTTGTGCAGTAAAAATGGTATTTAAAAAAAGATCATATAAGCAAACTTTTCTTTGCTTATAGCAAGATTGTAAACAACACAACCTGGCAAACCTGGTCTTGATCTTCCAATATACTATATTTAACACAACACTGTTTGACTATAAAGAGGTTGTGTGTGAAGTTTTGAAAGAACCCCCTAAAAGATAAAAGTGTATCATAGTTCTCTTTAGCAAAAGGAACAGAAAACCATTAACTGTTAAATGTATAGTTGAGCTGCTTCTAGAAAGCATAAGACTCTTATATTCTCCTCCAAGTGCCAGGTGCACTTTGGGAACTTGACATTCACATGGTTTAGCCTAAATCAAAGAGGAGTATGCAAGAGAATATTCACTGTTCTCAAAGAACAAATTTATTTTTAGCTATGGATAATTCCTGGTTCAAGAAAGATATAACTTAATGTTAAAATATCTAACTAAATTCTTTGCCTCACCTTATTAATATTAAATTTACTTAAAAGTAGAGCTGATACGATACTCTGCCCCACTTAGCCTTTCCCAGCTATAATTTTAAACCCAGACTATAATGTGTAGTAGGTGCTAAGGAACCAGAGATAGCATATAGTCAAATACTTCTACTTATCCAAAGTGGGGAGTTTTCATTTCATTTTATTAACAATGAATCATTTTTAAAAATTGAGAAATACAGAAATTTCTTTGAGCTGCATTACTTTGTAAAATTCTTTATGTTCTAGGCAGTTAGGCATCTTAATCACTAACCTTCCCATTTGAAAAGCTGAATTCCTTTATTTAGTACTGGCATATCATAGACTTTGTTCACTTGCTCATGTCAACTGAACTCCAATAAAATCAAAATATTTGCAGGTTTGTTTTTTTTTTAAACAGAAATCCCCATGAATCCAATTCATACAAGAAATTTACCTAATTTATCTTATATTCTTCTAAACCCTTTATCCTATTTATGTCCTTAAGGGTGTCCTCTCACTGGTCTAGTAACAACAATTTGGGGGCACTTAACTATGAACCAGTGAGGACAAAACGAGTTAGTGGTTATGAGAGGTGGGCTCTAGGTGTTACCACTAGGTAGCTGTGCAAGCACAAACAAGTCACTTTCCCTTCTTGAACTTTAGCTTCTGGTTATAGCTGAATTCAGTAATCTCCATAATACCAACTTCTAGACCCTTAAGATTTTTGTTAGAAAACTGGTTCAGCTCATGCTAAAACAGCAATGCCCACAAAGAACTGGAAGGAAACCAAGTGTAGTGGAGATATCCTCCTCCTGGCTGCTCACATCACCCCATGTAAGCAACCTTCCCCTTGATCTTCCATGACTGAGCCCTTCTCAGGTGCCTTGGGTTGCAGCTCTGGAGAAGAGTGGATGGCTTTCTGCAAATGCATTTTCCTAAGTCCAAAGGATTTTTAAGACAAAAGAACACTTGCCAAACAGAAAAAATGAAAACATTCACAGTAAGATATTTTCATCAATACCATGCACTTACTTTAATAAAAAGGTGCCTCTTTTTCCAAATACCATGAAAAACTTCTTATAGGAGATAATAAAAGGTATACCCTATTTTTTTTTTCTACCAAAAGAATATCATACTTTGGTGCTAGAAACAGAGGGAGAGAAGAACCTATAAAACGATAATGATCAATATTAATCTGGGATGCTCCATAAAGAACACAGAAGTCCTGGGCCATAGGTGGCACGGTGATGAAGATGGCTAGATCCCACATGGCCAACTGCATGGTTCAAGTTCCTTACCTGCCTGCCTGGAAAACACACTGGGTGCATGTGCATGTATGCTCAAAATCCCAGAAGGAAACGAAGGAGAAGGCACAACAGTGTGGCTGTCCCCACTGGGGAAGGGGTGCTTTCTCACTATCCCCCCTTCTCTGTCTCTCTTTGGCAAGTACACATGCCCCAATAAAGAACATAGACATCCACAGAAGTGTTGGAACATTAATGAACAGAACATAGCTACCTATACAAAATGAGGCACAAGCATGCAGCAAATACAAATGGTCATGTGGAAGCCATACAAAATGAAAGAAACTGTAACCTTCCAACACTGAGAAGTGCCAGGCTGCCTCAGTTCATTAAGGATTGAAAGATTCAAGCTTTGTAAATCCGATTAAAGCAAGCTTCACGCATATTTTGGTAATCAGCATACCAATGAGCCTCACTGCTGTGAAAGTAAGTTCATAGCTATTAATTTTTCAGGCTTACAAATGATTTATGCAGTGTTTTTGAAATCTATACAGAACGTGATGAGATGCTTAAGAAAAAACATATAAAAGGAGCCCTTAATAATGACGCCCTATTATTCACTCCAATCTTTCTGGTTCCTATCTGTTGCTGTTTGTTTTCAAGTTAAGCCTTCCAAACTGTCCATCTGGAGAATGATTTTTTTTTTTTCCTGCTCATTTGATATTCTTTCTTTAACCCAAGCAGAAAGAGAAACATTCAGCCTATTTGTGATTGCTGAGATATGACAGTCTGAAACGTGGTATATTAATTGATCATAAACTACCACTTCATTTCTCAGCACATTGGAATATTTTTCCGTGTCATTTTAGTTAAATGACTGACATAGCATGTAGAACTGGCTGAGTATTATACTCTCACCATCGAGGCTCTGAAACTGGACCAGGAATTCCTCTATTCTCTTTGCTGTGCTGCCAAACAGCTTTTCGGAAGAGGTCTTAAAAGCCTTAAAACATTTCTGAAGTATGGTCATCAGTTCATCCTTTGCCAGCAATCTAGAAAAAAATCAGAAGATGTACTTAGAAAATGAACGCACTTTAAAAACATTTTCTACATATTAAATATTTCTGCTCAGATTATATAAATTTTTTTTGAGAGGATATTTTTTGCTAATGGGCGTGTGCATTCGCCAAAAAGACAGAGAGCGACTGAGAGACAGAAAGCGAGAAATCAGCCCCCAGGGGGGATGGCCACGCGGCAATCCCTTTTCCTCTATTCTCCTCTTGGGATCTTGGGCACGCACGCACCTGCCTGAGTTTAAGCCACAGGGTCCAGGACTTGAACCGCAGTTGACTACATGGGAGTTCAGCGACATAGCCATTATGCTAACTGCTAGTCCCAGATTATATAAATTCTTCATTAATAACCACTAACTTTTTTGAAGAGATTTTCCTCAATGTATGTGATATTTAGAAGTTTTTGCTTCTTGTTTTGCTACAGGGTGTGTATGTTCTTGCTAAAGAGAGGTGGCAGAGGGTGGGGGCAACCATGTGCTACAGTCCTTTCTCCTCCACTAGGGATGCATATTTTGGTAATCAGCATACCAATGAGCCTCACTGCTGTGAAAGTAAGTTCATAGCTATTAATTTTTCAGGCTTACAAATGATTTATGCAGTGTTTTTGAAATCTATACAGAACGTGATGAGATGCTTAAGAAAAAACATATAAAAGGAGCCCTTAATAATGACGCCCTATTATTCACTCCAATCTTTCTGGTTCCTATCTGTTGCTGTTTGTTTTCAAGTTAAGCCTTCCAAACTGTCCATCTGGAGAATGATTTTTTTTTTTTCCTGCTCATTTGATATTCTTTCTTTAACCCAAGCAGAAAGAGAAACATTCAGCCTATTTGTGATTGCTGAGATATGACAGTCTGAAACGTGGTATATTAATTGATCATAAACTACCACTTCATTTCTCAGCACATTGGAATATTTTTCCGTGTCATTTTAGTTAAATGACTGACATAGCATGTAGAACTGGCTGAGTATTATACTCTCACCATCGAGGCTCTGAAACTGGACCAGGAATTCCTCTATTCTCTTTGCTGTGCTGCCAAACAGCTTTTCGGAAGAGGTCTTAAAAGCCTTAAAACATTTCTGAAGTATGGTCATCAGTTCATCCTTTGCCAGCAATCTAGAAAAAAATCAGAAGATGTACTTAGAAAATGAACGCACTTTAAAAACATTTTCTACATATTAAATATTTCTGCTCAGATTATATAAATTTTTTTTGAGAGGATATTTTTTGCTAATGGGCGTGTGCATTCGCCAAAAAGACAGAGAGCGACTGAGAGACAGAAAGCGAGAAATCAGCCCCCAGGGGGGATGGCCACGCGGCAATCCCTTTTCCTCTATTCTCCTCTTGGGATCTTGGGCACGCACGCACCTGCCTGAGTTTAAGCCACAGGGTCCAGGACTTGAACCGCAGTTGACTACATGGGAGTTCAGCGACATAGCCATTATGCTAACTGCTAGTCCCAGATTATATAAATTCTTCATTAATAACCACTAACTTTTTTGAAGAGATTTTCCTCAATGTATGTGATATTTAGAAGTTTTTGCTTCTTGTTTTGCTACAGGGTGTGTATGTTCTTGCTAAAGAGAGGTGGCAGAGGGTGGGGGCAACCATGTGCTACAGTCCTTTCTCCTCCACTAGGGATTTTGGGTACACACGCATATGTGCCCAACATGTTTTTCAAGCCGCTGAGTACAGAACTCAGATGGTCATTTGGATCCTGCCCCTTAACCACCATATGACCTGGCTAGCCCCCCATGCAAAAGTATTCTTGAAGAATTCTCATGTTTAAGCTTAACCTAGAAAATTATAAAATACTAGGTTCACAGCTTGGCTCTGACACTTGCTATTGTTATATAGAGCAAGCTTACTAAATACATCTCTGATCCTTGGTTTCCTTGTCTATAAAATGAAAAGAATAGCTCACACATTTCAAAAGTCAGATGTAGACTTAAAAATCAAATGAGGGGCCAACAGGTGGCTTGGTGATTAAGATGCTAGATTCCCACCCTCATGGCTGACCACAGTTCAAGTCTTGGACCTGGCAGCTTGAAAAAATCATACCAGACGTGTGTATCCAAAATCCTGAGAGGAGAATGGGAGAGAAGTGACTGTGGCATGGCCATTACCTCTCGTGAGTGATTTCTCACTTTCCCTCTCACTGTCTCTCTGTGTCTCTCTTTGGCAAGTGCACACACCCTATGGCAAAAGCCTTAAAAAAAAAAAAATCAAATGAGAAGATGAGAAGGAGCCAGGTGGTGATGCAATGATAATGCATGGATCCATGCGGGAAAGGTCTTGTGGACTCCCTGAGTATACCAGCCACATGTCCACGTGCTTGTGATCTAGGCTGGCTGTGACTAGGGGTGGATCATGGTGTGATGGCCTGAGGAATGTGCTGGAGATGCCTCTCTCTCTGATGGAGGAAATAAAAACATTTTTTAAAAAAAGGAAGAACAATTAAATGAGAAGATGTACTTGAAAAACCTAGCACAGTGCTTACCACACAGGAGGTATTTAGTGTTACTTTCTCTCTTTTTTTGATGTAAATATACACATGACAAGAAATGGCTACCAAGGATATGGCAGTTAAGGTAAATGCAAACCTGTGTGATAAGTCAGTAAACTCACTGAACTTTTACAAGGTAGGCAGTTCTGCTGGTTATATATAGCATAGGCAGAAAGGCTGAGTAACTCGTTCAAGACCATAGAGGAAATCTTTGCTAGAAATGGAGAACACAGATACTCTAAATTTAGGATCCTATTCTCAGAGTCATTCTTTACTGCATCTCTCCACTAGGACTATATTCAGTGACAGCGTCAAATCATTATTGGTAATTATGAAGTGGTGGCTTAACAAAGATATATGAATTATTCTCAGTAAATAGATCTAAATCATTAAGACACACATGACTAAAAGCTCTAATATTAATTATGGGGAAAAAAATCAGACAAATCCAGAGTATGGGGCATATTGCAAGATATATTTGACATTTTCATACTGATAAACTTTGGAAAAATGCTGATATGTTACTAACTCAGGGAAAAGAGAAACAAAGCTAAGTAGACTATGACTATAAGAAGTTGAACTGGTGAGACCAGCAATTAGAGTAATGGCTATGTCACTGAACTCTCATGTAATCGACCACGGTTCGAGTCCTGGACTCGGTGGCTTAAACTCACACCAGGCGCGTGTGTGTGCGTGCTCAAGATCCTGAGAGGAAAATGGAGGAGAAGGGACTGTGGTCTGGCCATGCCCCCAGGGGGTGACTTCTCACTTTCTGTCTGTCTCTGTCTGTCTGGCAAGCACATACGCCCTATAGCGAAAACCTCTCTCTCTCAAAAAAAAAAAAAGTTGAACTGGTTACTACAACCAAAATGAAAGAAATGAAAGTTCAAGTCATAAATTTAAAAAAGTATACAACCACTAAATTTAGAAACTGGTAGGGATAGATAAAAGTGAAAGTTTCCCCAGTTTGAAGGAAAAAGTATAAAATCTTCTCTTCCTCTTTCTACAATAATTATACAAAGTATAATTTTTATCTGTGAATGAAAGGCAGAGCTAATCGGTTAAAGTATGCCAAGATACTTCATTCTTGATTACATGTGAAATTATTTTAAAGTTTCCAGCTTTCTATTGCCCAGAAGGAGCTAAACTATTAAGAAGACATAACTCAAAATTGGGACACACTTGAACTATCTGTTCTACTTGACCTATAGTCCTCCTCATATAGACCAGACCAGCAATTCCTTTGTCCAGAGAGACACCTGCACTGGCTTGCTGGAGGGGGAGAAGAGGCCAAAGTAACACTGGTGGGTGGTCTCCTTAGGATTTTTCCAGTAAGACTGTACACACACAGAATCAACATTCTAGAATCTAGATGCTGCAATAAATTAAGAAAAAGTGGCAAACAGTATAAACATTAGGAAGGAATATGAAATTTATTATTTGTATTTAACATGTCTATAAGGTTAAACAATCTAAGTACTGTATAAGTATTAGGGTGTAAAAGGGTATGTGAATATAAGATAAATATTAGGCCGTCAAAAAAGTCATGATGTATTTTTCTACATTTTTCTTTATAAAAATGCATGACTTTTCTTTTTATGGAGGTTTTTGCTATAGGGTGTGTGCACTTGCCAGAAAGACAGAGAGAGAGAGAGAGAGATAGAGAGCGAGAAATCAACCCCCCCCCCCGGGAGGGGGATGCCACGCCGTAATCCCTTCGGGGATAGCCATGCCACAATCCCTTCTCCTCCATTCTTCTCTCTGGATCTTGGGCACGCATACACACACGCCCAGCGTGAGTTTAAGCCACCAGGTCTGGGACTCAAACCACGGTCGACTACATGGGAGTCCAGTGACATAGCCATTACACTAACTGCTGGTCCCCATGATGACTTTTCTGACAACCAAGTATACATGTATATACTGACGATCAGTATATATATATACATGTATTCATACATATTCATATACTGTGTATGAACACATGTAATCTATACATTAATTAAGCTTTTAGAAAAAAGAGCATGTTCAAAATGGCAACAAAAACTGAAGAATACATGATAATAAATGTCTAAGAGCTAATATAAAGGGAGGTGTGGACAGTAGCGGAGGGAAAATCAGATACTCTGTGAAGTTGACACACATGGGAGGTTTCTGGATTCATGTCCAGTGACCTCTCTGAGTATAGAAGGTATATGCATGTCCATGATCCAGGGGTGGCTGTGGCTAGAGGTGAATCATGGCACTGGGACTCTATTGGGGGGTGACTGTCTTCTCTCCTCTCTGTCTTTCTTGCTTCTCGAAGAAATAAATAAACTTAAAAAAAAAAAAAAAACCCTAAAAAATAGACCTTTCAAGTTGTAACATTCATAATTTTAAATATGGAAAGATTAAAATCAGAAGGTACTGAGATAGGAATAGACAGATCAATAAAAGAGAGTAAGAATCCAGAAAGAGATCGAGGTATTCATGGGAGTTTGGTATGTAACAGAATGAGCATTTTAAATCAGTAGGAAAAAGATGTTAGGCATTAGAATAAAGTCTTCTCAAAAAACTGGTCACTACATGACATTATACACAAAAATATACTTCAATACAATAAAAACATGAGTATGATGTGAGAGCCAGGGAAAGAATCAGCCCATCAATCATAAAATACTAAAGGAGAACAGAGATATTTAGGTCTAATATTATCCAACAAGAGTGTGGGGAGGGGCCAAAAGGTGGCATGGTGGTTAAGATGCTGGACTGCCACATGACAATGACTTGCCATGGTGGTATCAGTAAAGGAACTCTATTGGGGGGGGGCTGTCTGCTCTCCTCTCTGTCTTTCTTGCTTCTCGAAGAAATAAATAAACTTAAAAAAAAAAAAAAAACCCTAAAAAATAGACATTTCAAGTTGTAACATTCATAATTTTAAATATGGAAAGATTAAAATCAGAAGGTACTGAGATAGGAATAGACAGATCAATAAAAGAGAGTAAGAATCCAGAAAGAGATCGAGGTATTCATGGGAGTTTGGTATGTAACAGAATGAGCATTTTAAATCAGTAGGAAAAAGATGTTAGGCATTAGAATAAAGTCTTCTCAAAAAACTGGTCACTACATGACATTATACACAAAAATATACTTCAATACAATAAAAACATGAGTATGATGTGAGAGCCAGGGAAAGAATCAGCCCATCAATCATAAAATACTAAAGGAGAACAGAGATATTTAGGTCTAATATTATCCAACAAGAGTGTGGGGAGGGGCCAAAAGGTGGCATGGTGGTTAAGATGCTGGACTGCCACATGACAATGACTTGCCATGGTGGTATCAGTAAAGGAAGATGGCAAGATGCCTGATTCTTTAAAAATTTTATAGGGAGAGCCCAGGTTTTTGATAATCAGAAGAACAGAGAGACTGCAGGAAGTTTTTCAGGAGTTCAGTTTTGAATATGTTAACTTTGAGATGTATATTAAATATCCAAATGGAGGTATTACTAAGGATGTGAACCTAACAGTCTTGCGCTCGGAAGAGAGGTGGTTTAAGCCTAAGCCCTCTGTAGTGCCAGGACATGAGGGAGAGGGGAAAACACTTTAGACTAAAAAAGGGCATGCACTGT